AATGTATAAAAATACATAAACAAAAGTTGTAAAATTCATTCCCTTTATGACTTTATTAGGTTCTTAGCAGGCCAAAACACTGGTATATTGATAAATTCTGTATATTGGGAATATATCCCAAAAGAATTACATATAACACATATCTAGTCTAGTTTGATATTAAATTCTTACTCAACAACTCTACATGCTTAAAGTTACTATGCTTGCAACAGACATCAGAGCTGCACCCTCCTCTCATTCTTTTTGAAGTTTCATGCACAATGTTTATTCTTTTCTTGTTTCTATGTTTACGTTTTCAACTTTGATATGGTTGAAATGGCCTTGGGTCAAGATATGTACCCTTATATATCAAGTGACAACATTTCTGCATTTCTTCAGGTTCAAGCTGGGTTGGGGAGATTTTAACACAGCTGGAAATTGCCTCTGGAAAATATGATGACAATGAACAGAAGCGAAGGCAGCAAATACTGCAAGAATTAACACTAGTTCCTCGTCTTGAATTTGGAGATCCAGAAAAATTTGAGGTTAGAAATCAGAGAAATACACCGTAGCTTCCATCAAGTGGCAGGAAGGTCATATAAAAGATTTACAAGCTGTAAACAGGAGTGCTATTTTTATAAATTAGAGCACCTTGAGATTTCACAAGGTGAAATTCATTCATTAGAAAAGAAAAGAGCTGGATGGATGCAAGAGAAAAATAGGGATGTTTGTGTGAGGTCTCTGTGTTCAGCTCACAATAAAGATTTATTGTAGATCATTGGAGCTCTACTACAAACAAAGCCCTTAAATATCATAACATTAAACTATAAGAAATAAATTAAAGTAAGGGCTGGCATCCTTGTAACACTCATCTAAATGTGTATGTATTGATGGGAAAGCCACCACTGACATCAAGACCCAAGTCAGCAGAGACAACATTTTTAGTTTTTCTGGTTTGTGTTTTAGGTGAATTAATTCTATTCCAAAGCTTAGCCAGCCTTATTTAGAGTTATTTCCAATGAATATAGAGGGAAATTGCATTTTGAGTTTTGATAATATGCCACCAAATATCAGTGGTGAACACCCACACACTGCCGAGACAAACAAATTAAAAAAAGGACTTGAATTGAAGATTGTCCGAGATTTTCAGCTTGTCCTTATTTTAAAATATTTCATGTTGCTCTGTATCTTATCATGAATACAAAGTTCAACTCATGCCCTTTTTCATAGACTGTTATAGAAAAAAATGCATTTTATCAATAACAGTCATATAACTTAAATCCAAGTGTCCATTCCACATCTGAAGAATTTCCTCAATCTATATCCTTATTACACTGATGGAAACCATATCCATTTCTCTGGAATGAATTAAGGGACCATTGTATCCAACCAAGATTTCCATGTCAACTGAAAAGTTCTAGAATGCTGTATTGAACATATTGGACACAATTTAGCAAGGGAGATTTGGCCTGGAACTGTTTTCAGTGATTTATTTCTATTAGTTGAAATGAGATGCCACTGTTTGCATGACAAGAAAAAGCATATTTAATAATAATAATAATAATAATAATAATAATAATAATAATAATGATAATCAAACAAACAAACAAACAAACAAACAAACAAATAAATAAATAAATAAAGTTGGAAGGGACCTTGGAGGTCATCGAGTCCACCCCCTGCTCAGGCAGGAAACCCTACACCATTTCGGACAAATGGCTGTCCAGTCTCTTAAAAACTTCCAGTGTTGGAGCATTCACCGCTTCTGGAGGCAGCTTGTTCTATTGGTTAATTGTTCTAACTGTCAGGAAGTTTCCCCCTATTTCTAGGTTGCTTCTCTCCTTGATTAGTTTCCACCCGTTGCTTCTTGTTCTGCCTTCAGGAGCCTTGGAAAATAGCTTGACTCCCTATTCTTTGTGGCAGCCCCTGAGATATTGGAACACTGCTATCATGTCTCCCCTCGTCCTTCTCTTTGTTAAACTAGACATACCCAATTCCAGCAACCATTCCTTATATGCTTTAGCCTCCAGTACTCTAATCATCTTTGTTGCTCTTCTCTGTACTCTTTCTAGAGTCTCAGCATCTTTTTTACNAGATTTTGCCTGCAATACTGCATTCTAACCACTGAACCCCAGGGCTCTTCAGAAAAGGTTGGAATAGAACAAATTGATATATAGCTTTATTGATCTACCATTCTGTGCACACCTATCTCCCTGCCTGCAAGAATATTACTGTTGTGTCATTGTGTATGTGTGCATGTCATTGTGTTTGTTCTAAAATGTAATATGTAAGCCATATAATTTCCCAAATTATTAACCAACTGTGTTAACCAAATGTGTTAATTATTCAGGAGATGCAATGGCTCAGCGGTTAAAGATGCTGAGCTTGTTAGCTGGAGAGCTGTCGGCCTGGGTTCAAGACATGACCTCCATGAAATGGGGTGAACTCCCATTAGTTGCACCAACCCCTGCCCACCTAGCAGTTCTAAAGTATGCAAATGCAAGTAGATTAATAGGTACCACTTCAGTGGGAAATAACAGCTTTTTTGCACCTTTGGCATTTAGCCATGTATGCTTTCCCTTGGGAACAGCAAGATAAGGCTTCAAGGATTCTGAGGGAGGTCAGACCTGTGCTGCTTCCACTTAACACCTCCTTACAGTCTAACTCAGTGGTTCTCAACCTTTTTAATGCCGTAACCCCCAACCGGTCGTAAGTCAAGGACTAAACCGGTCGTAAGTCGAAAACTAAACCGGTCGTAAGTCGAGGACTACTCAACTGGTCGTAAGTCGAGGACTTTCCCTGCCCAGGAGCGCCACGCATGCGTGGTTCCGCCCCCTGCGCCGGCCGAGGCATAGCTGGCAAGCGGTAGAAACGGAGCAGGCCGACCACCAGCTGGCCCAGCCCAAGGGAGGTAAGGCACCCGCCAGAAAAGGGGGAAAATGGCGGACAGCCTTGCTTGGCGACCCCCGTGAAATGGTCGCGACCCATAGGTTGAGAACCGCTGGTCTAACTGGAGATTCCACCACAGAGTTTATGATGACAAAGATCACTTGGACTCAGATTTTTTTTAGAGATGAACTTTGATATTCCTAATTTATACTTCCACTTGATAAAAAGTATCCATGAAAGAGACCTAAAACAAGATGGATTGACGACATCAGCAAGTATTGTGGACCCAATTGGTAAAAGAAACCTCAGGACTGTATAGGTTGGAAACATGAGAAAGAGGTCTTCATTCTGCAGTGGATAGACAATGACTTAAATTATGATGATGATGCATTTATACTTGTGTATAATTTTCTTTGCATAAATGATATTAACTTACTTTTATTTTAATATGATTAAAGAGGATGGAAAAAATGCCTTCCAGAAGAATTATAAGAACACACCTCAGCCCTCAAAACTTGCCCAAGTCTATTTTTGAAAAAAAGGCAAAAGTAAGTACCTTAATTCTCAATTTTGGTTTTACATATCATTAAGATATATACATATGCATATATATAAATCTATCAATGAAGTGTTGTTGAATAAATTTACACAGTAAAATAGGACAGCAAGCCCAAGATCATACCAACTTCTCAGGTTCTGAACTGGCGTGGAACATAATTATAAGAAACTGTATTTTATTCAAAATAAAAATGGAATGATTTCTTTTTCTGGTTTTCAAGCAAGCAGGAAAGGTGCAACATTGCAGCTCGAAGTCTGAAATTGTTGCAGCTTGATTTCATTTTTTAGTATTGTATCAGGCAAGTTCATCAAATCAGTCGTATCTTCACTTAATTATTCAGACTGAACCATTGTTAAATATCTCGTGTTAAATATTCTTTGCTTTGCTGCTTACAATACTTTACTTAGGATCTTGGGAAATGGAAATAGAAGAGATTGGACAACCATTTGTCCAGATGGATATGGGGTCTCCTGCATGAGCAGGGGACTGGAATAGAAGACCCTTAAGTTCCCTTTCAACTGTGTTATTCTGCTATTCTGTCTTGGGAAGGAACTTTATTTTTAAAAAAATTACTGTTCTCTTAATTTGATAATTTTATCTCTATTTTTTTATTCCAAGTTTTTTTTATTAATTTTACAATATTTACATATTTGAAAAGTAGTGTGGCGGCTGAGCACAGTAATTCCATTACATTTGAATATCATCAGTACAAATCTCAAAGTATTACAACAACTAATTCCCTCTCTTTCCCCCATAATATCTACTGGCATGTTCGAACCAATACATTTCTTATTCTATCAATCAAACAAAAAGTACCTTTCTAATATTCATCAATAATCTTCAGTCTATGCATATCTTAATTAATTTGACATTCCACCTTTTAGACAATAACCTAGTAAGTTTTTCTTAACTTTAATTTCCCATTGATATTTAAGTTTAACGTTTAATCTTTATCATTTCCAGATTTTAAATGATCCCAATTTCTAATAATTTTATCTCTAATCCCCATTCAGTTCATTTCCAAATACATTTGAATGTTCATACTTTAATTTTTAAAAATGGAATGTTTTTACTCTTCTGGCTCTGCTCTTCTAGATTTTAAATTTACATGCCAATATATTCTTTTTTGTTTTAAAGATGCTGGTTTTGTTTCGGAACCCAAAGGACACAGCTGTATCTTTCTTCCATTTTGCCAAAGGCATAAACATGAGTCCTGACCAGGAAACCTGGGATGAGTTCTTTGAAAATTTTGTCACTGGAAAAGGTGTTCTTTTCTTCTTATTCATTGGAAGAAATATACATGCTTGAAATAAGTGGTCTTATTCTATTTATCTTTCGGTCTCCTGTACTCTCCATCTGTCTGTGAAGGAGAAGCAAGATCTCTTTGAACAAAGGGTTCCTTTCTCTGTTTGTCTTCGGGCACTGAAACTTATTTCCATTGCTTCAGTACAAAGGAACAATAATTCCATGTTTCATTTCATTCTCTAAAGTTCATCTCACAGACATAAACCTAGATTAACTGCACATTAGCCTAGTATTTGTATACCATTTGTATACCATTCCCATAAACCATTATGTTGTAATGGGATGACAAATCTCACTCAACATGCTGAGACAATGGCAGCGTTTCCTATAGTACTGAACTACAAATTACCCAACCTCATTTTAGTCTAGTATAGTATGTTGTGTGAATTTGGCCAGTAAGTAACATTGACTTGATTTGTGTTTTCTGTATACATGTCTAATGCAGGCTACAAAGAGAAATATTCTTGCATCCCTTACCCTTTGCAAAAACATTCATTTCCATTCTGGAGTCATTTGTGAACTCCTTTGAAAATTAATTCTTTGAAAAGTAAAAGTAATCCATTTACCATCCAGTCAGAACTGAATAAGTTTCTTGGCTGAGAAGCAAAATATCTTCCTCAACAAAGAAAAAAAAAAGCACCTTTGAGACAACCATGACCTGGATGACTAAGAATCCCCATAGATATTAATTCTCTCTTGTACACATTTATGTGCTTAATTGCCACTTAATGTTATTGGCTGTTAAATCAGAATGCATATTTTCAGCATTCTCTCATTTGACTCCACCAGTTCTACTAGTATTGTTAATGACACAATGAAAACAATTACATCGGTTTTAAACTTAACTTTTCAGTTTAGTGTGAGAAAAGTGACCAAATATATTTACTTTAATGAGTAAGGACAATGATAATTCCGGGACAAGTCTGACCAGAAGTATCTACAGGTGGTATCAAAAGAGGGCATGGGGACAAATGACCAAAGCATCACAGTGGCATGATAGCACATTGCTGTTTTCCTCATTTTGATGAGAAGGTTGTATCTTGCCAATGCCTCTGTGTGTGGTTGACTATGGTTGAAATGACATATGGTTTGACTGGTACTCCATAAACAAAAATTGGAATTATACACTTTGAATGAATGGCAAAGCAAACACCAGTTTTGGTGAATAATTAAGGCAATCTAATAAGCACACATGGTTAACAAGCAGAGGCTTCAGTGGAGAGGGAGCTGCCCAAAATGTCAAGATGATGGCCATGACTATACAATCAAACCTTGCACCTTTTAAAAAATGTGTGGAATGTGTAAAAAAAAGAAACAGCGGGGGTTTTGCTGAGTGGCCATAAGTTTTGGATTCCCCTATAGATGCTCCTGTTACCTGAGCAACCCAACAATTAAATAATAATAATAATAATGGTGATCAATGATTAAAATTATGTATGGTAATCTGCATTTGTTAATAATCAGAGAAAAAGTGAAATAGAAAGGATACAGTGAGAGTTCACACTGAAATCAATATCAAAATGTTCTGCTTAATTCCTACCAGTGATCTTTGGATCTTATTTTGATCATATTACTGAATGGAACAACTATCTGGAGGACAGCAATGTATTTTTTATTACCTATGAGGAAATAAAAGAGGTACGTTTTTAAGAGTAAACATTTAGATTTAATTTAATAAAAAAATTATGTCTGGCCAAGCACTATATAGTAATGAACAATTGATCAGGATATAGAAATAGGAAATGTAACTCAAGATTTCTACCTGGTTACTTTTCTCTAAGCAATTGGTAAATATCTCAGAAACATTTTGATTTTAAGGTCAACTTCTGGATCACCCGATCTACTCTTGCTAATATTTCAATGAAACAATGAAAACTGTGTTTTGTTTTGCTTATTTATTTATTTCTTTATTTATTCTAATGTGAACAAGTCCAGCCTATAAATATATATAAAAAATGTATGGTACCCAGATCAAGACATGAATTGAAGCAATTGAAAGCATTACTCACTTATGTTATATATTGATGTATTATTCAGAATCCAGTCTCAGCACTGAAAAAAATAGCCAAATTCTTTAATTTTTCTGTAACTGAAGAGGAGATTGAGAACATTGTAAAGAAAACAAGTTTTGAAAACATGAAAAATAATGCAGCAACCTGTGGAAAACTAGGGAAAGCACTTTTCCGCAAAGGTAACATTGTAATATTTTTAATAATTTTGTCTACAACATTTAATAGTCTTCTCTAACCTAGTGGCTTTATGGTGTGGGGGATTTCAACTCTTAGTACTTAAAGGTGTGCTGGCTAGGAATGATAAGGGCTGAAGTCTAGCAGTGGGTTGGAAAAGGCTCATGATGCTTTATATTATTCAAATATTAGGGAATATGATACAGACAATCCTTGACTTACAACAGTTTGTTTAGTGATGTTTGAAGTTACAACACCACTGAAAAAAAAAATAACATGACCATTTTTTGCACTTACAACCAGTA